CAATATCTGGTTCTGGGCTCTTTATTATTAAGACCTTTTAAAATTCATGATACAAGAATTCACTATTTAGACCAGGGATCTGCCTACCTATATCTTCTGAGTGCTGGGATTAGAGACATATGCCCCTACACCCAGCCCATGATTTTGATTCTTATTATTGAAAAAACAATGGTCTGGGGGTCTGAAGGCCTGTTCCTCTGCCCCAGTCTCTAGGATTATGAGATAAGGCAGACAGATTGGGGGGGGGGGCTTTCACCTGCCTCACATCAGGGCCAGCGTGTAGAGCAGAGACTTCCCGAGCAGTGCTCCCGCTGGGCCTCCTGCACCTGCCTTTCATCAGAAGCCCCAGGACTGCTGCAGCCTGCTGAGCTTCACCTGGGAGCGCCCTGGCTCTGCTCCGGGAGGCTCCTCTGATGTCAGCTATGATAAAGGGTCTGGATGTAGTAACCAGTCCCCTCTTTATCTCTGATCAGCTGTGAGATGAGACCTCAGACCTTACTTCCTGTCTCTGAGCCCCAGGTCCCTACTCTGTACCCTGGGAATAAAGAGTTACCCTTTATTTCTAAGAGGCACATCGCCCTGTCTGCTGGAGGGGATTGTTCTATGAGCACTTTTAGTGGGATTCCCAGAGGAGCAGAGTAGTTGGCCCCGAGCAAGTCACACATGGACACAGGTAGTAGTACTACAGCCTGTTGAAAGGCTGTCCCCACCCTCACTTTGCCTAAGCAAAGGCAGAGGAACCGTCCTGAGCAGAGGGTGTGAGGAACTGAGGCCTAGGGCTGCCCAACTCCTTCCCTGAGAAGAGACTCTCCCAGCTTCCTATAAGTCATGCAAGAGCTCCAGGAATGCAGTTTTCATGAGTCGTCCCTCACCCATGCTGGGTGGGCTATTCAGCAATGCAGCTACTTGTAAGTCACCCAGGCTCTTGTAAGCCCAGCAAGCTCATTAGTCCACTAAACTCCACTTGGGTGAAGCTGTTTCCTTGGTATGTTGTCTGTTCCTTATCTGGGGTTACTAGACATTTGTTCTTATCTCCCCGGGAAAAGCCACACAACAACTCTATTTGGCAGATGAGAAGCTGAGGTTTAGAGGGGGAAGGTCACTTATCCAAGGTCACACAGTGTGTTAGTGTTGAGTTTGGACCTGCTTTGTAATCCAGGAGCCTGTATTGAGTAACGGCAAGCAGGGGAGGGGGTACAAGGTCGACAGGGGCCTCATTTGGAACCTGCTGACCCGGCTCTGCAGCCTACCCACCCCTCCTCATAGCTTACCCATTCCCAACTGTCTAGAGTGTGGCCACAGCCAAGGACTCGGTGAGGGCCCGAATCCACAAACCATAAGGACTCCATCAGCAATGCTCAATCTTGCCAGCCCCAGCCTCAGCCTCAGTCTCTCCCAGGGACTGTATTCTTGGCACCCTAAATGACATTCCTGGGTGCTCCAAATTCCATATGGGAATTTGCCTAGTTGGAGGTTCAAGCAGTGGAGTTGGTGAATTTGTTGCTTTTTTTTTTTTTTTTTTTTTTAAGATTTATTTATTATGTACATTGTTTTGCCTGCATGTATGCCTGCAGGCCAGAAGAGGGCACCAGATCTCATTACAGATGGTTGTGAGCCACCATGTGGTTGCTGGGAATTGAACTCAGGACCCCTGAAAGAGCAGCTGGCTGCCCTTAACCGCTGAGCCATCTCTCCAGCCCCTTGTTGCTGTTCTTAATTTAGGGCTATCATATATGTGCAAACATTGAATCCCCCAATTTGGGGTCAGTTCAAAGCTTTGTGAGCAGTTGACTTCAGGTTCCCTGGGACCATAGACCGTACAGCCTCCTCTCCATTACCCAAGTAGGAATCATGAGGCTGGGAACACTGCTCTACACATCAGCCATCCTTCCGGGCTGGGCACCACCACCCATGGATTAGGCTCCGACTTAACGTCTCCTTTTCCCACTAAGACCTAGTTCACTAATTCACCAACATGACTGCCTAGCTATAAGTGAACACTTGTGGGTGCCACCCTTCACTCACCCACACACCTCAGCCATGCGCATCCTTGAACTCCACACCTTCTGGATCTTAGGTGCACTATGGTACCAGAGCAGTGCCTGGCTGCCAACCAACAGTGACATGTTGGATAAAAGGATGAGACTTGGTGAGGGTAGTGGATGAGGTCACTCTAGGAGGCAACTCATTGGGCCTGACCAGCCTAGGAGACCAGAGGGAAGAGAGTCTGGTCTGGGGGACTCTGGTCCTGACAGGGTTCATGGGAGGAAATGGAGGAGCAGAACTCTATTTGCTGAAGCTCTTGTGCCTGACCTGGTTCCCCACCGCTGCCCTACTTCTTCCAGGGCTGGCCTCCAGCTCATGTTTCTGCCCTGTGGTGTTGGTTCCTCCACTGGGCTCTGTTCCCAGGTGTTCCTGACTTACGACCTAGATTGCGGTCTCTGAGCCACAGCTCGGGGCCAGGTGCTGTGTTGAGCACTTAAAATAACTCCTCAGGACTTCATGGAGTCTGGAATGTTAGCTGCTGGTGCCCCACCCCCATTCTGCTTTGAACCCAGGAAACAGACTAGTCTACTCAGAACTGGCAAAGCAGTGGTGCTAGGCTGCAGGCTGGCTGACTCCAGTCTGTGTTAACTGCTACCCCATAAGTGCCTCTTAGGAAAGGGCAGATGTCATCAGGGAGGGAAGGGGTGGACTGGTGTGATTGTGTAAAAGGCCACAGAATCCTTTAAATCCAAATTCCATCTCTGCCACAGTCTGGCTGTTTGGCCTTGGGTGTGACCTGCTTCTTCTGAAAGGTAGGATTCACTCTGGAGCCACTCGCAGGCTGGCATCACATCAGAGCCCAGCAGCTAGCCTGTACCTACTGATGGCAGCTGACAAGGCTATTCATCCATTTGTCTATTTGCACAGATAAATGAATGGCTAATAGTTTTTAGTTGTGATAACTAATCATTGAGTATCTACCACCAGTCAGTACCATGCTGGGCCCTTGTGACCACTTGGAGAGTTGAGCATCTATCCATCAAAGTTCCCCTGGACTGCCCCTGGCCTTTCTTCCTACAGCTCCTTACTTACTTACCTCCTACTGGAGGAGCTCAGAGTTGCTCCCAGCAGAATGAGGGCCTTGTTCTGTGACGCTCTCCTTTGTGTCTCTATTACCAGGAGTGTCACTCCATACTGATGCCTCCATGAGGCTAATTTGTTTTCACAGCTTCAGCTAAAAGCTGAAATTTAGTGAGGATGTAGATATGTCAACTTAAATGGAGACCCAAATTGGCTCTCTTAATCGCTTAAATGCCTTCTCTAGTGTATGAGTCCAATCTGTTAAGGCTACTGTTTGGCCAAGCTGTGGCCAGGACACTCTGTCCCCAGGGTGAGGCTCTGGTGTACGTGGAGCTCCACTATGTCTGCAGTCCTGTTAGAAAATAGAGAAGAAACAGGCTATCCTTATGCTTATATCCTACTGGCTAGAACTTTGTCATGTGGCTATCTCTAGCTACAAGGGAAGCTGGGAAGTAAAGTGTTTGCTTTATTATAAAACCTGGAGTTCCCATCATGGTGAGAAAGGAGAGGAATCCCAGAGCCTGAAACACAGCCCAGCTCTGTGATAGACAAAGGGGACCATTAGAAAGTCAGCACAGAATGCCTGAGCAGTGTGCAGAACTCACCTGAGCGGTGTGCTGTACTCATATGTTTATGTCTGTGGGCATATCTGTGTGCTATGTGTGCAAATCTGTTTCATGTCAGTTCATGTGCGTATCTATGTGTAACTTGTCTGTGCACATGTCTGTGTGCAGGACTAACCAACTCTCTTCCTCCTAGAAGGATCTTTCATGAGGGTGGGGACCTGGGCTTTCAGGGTTGATGCTGCAGTGGCCCTCGGCCGGCAGTGGCCCTCGGCCGGCACAGATAGGTTTCCCTACTGTTGCCTCTCCCCAGTTAGTATGTTCTCCCCAGGGAAGCTAAGCCAGCTTCTTCTCAGTTTGTTTTGCAGTGACAGGGACTGAACCTAGGGCCTCACGAGTGTAAGGCAAGCACTCTTACCACTGAGATATATCCCTCAGCCAACTATTAAACCAAAAGGTCATGACATGGCTATTCTTACCAGTCCGGTACCTGCCGGAGCCCCCGCCTATCTGGTGAATGAATGAAGACATTTTTGCAGGTGAAGCACACAAGACTCCGAGAGGTGGCTCGCCCGGGTTCCCACAACTAACAAGCACTAAGGAGTGGGGGACTTACCTGTGTTACAGTACTTTGCATCCCAGAGGAGAGGTTTGCTTGCGTGACGAAACAGAGGCCACTTAGGCCTGTCCACTGGACACTGGACGCCCTGGATGGAAGGTCACCCACAGCTAGGCCCAGCTAAGGGACCCTACTCTCCACAGACTTGATCAACTGGACCTTGTGCCCTTAAAGACCCCACAGTGGAAGTGCCTCCAGGAAACCACTGCAAACATTCCCAAAGGGGTGAGGGGAGAGAGGCCAATTTAAGGTTCAGAAAAGACTTCGGGATGGGCAGACCTACAGTGACAGAATGATGGGCAGTGAGCTCCCCACCACCCAAGAAAGGTGAGAGGGTTAGAGGGGCCCGAAGAGGGTTGTGCCTGAGGGTCAGAAGACAGGCCATGAAGCTAGAGCAAGAGCCACAGAGGAGGAGGCATCACTGTGCACTTCAGTGCTTATGACCTTTGCTCTGAGTATGTAGGTCCCCAGGATCTGCAGCAGTTTTTGCTTTGCTTTGACCTATGGTGTCCATGCACCTCGAGGGCCGGGCAGTCTTTCCAAGTCTGGAGATAGGATCTGTGTCTGGCGCCAATGATTCCTGTCATTCAAAGTCATCTTGTCCCTTTATCCCTGCAAGCAGTCTCAGTTCATCCAGGCACAAAAATAAACTTCTGTAAGGATGAAGGAAAAAAAAAAAACAACAAAAACCAGTAGAAGCCAGTCATAAGACAAAGGAAAAAGAATTAGAAAAACATTTGTGACTCCTATCTTCATATTTCAACATGCATCTCTTTGGTTCTCAATTCCTCTTTATCCATAGAAAAGCAAAAAAGGACAAGGAATGGAGGGTCACAGGAAAAACCCACAATGGCTTCCAACTGTTTGCAAAGATGCCTAATGTCTTTGGAATCGGGAGGTTAAGGTAAGTGACACAGGGGAGGGGTCCAGTCCTGGGAAAGATGATGCAGTCTTCCACCAAGCAGCTGTAAAAGCCAGGTGGGTCACTGGGTGGCTGAACCGAGCTGTTCGTGGCTGAACCGGGGACAAGATTAGAATAAAAAGGGCCATCATTACTTCCTTTTCTGTCCTTCTGACATATTTAGGCACAACAAAATGCAGCAAACCTCTTCTCCCTGGGACGCAAAGTACCACAACATAGGTGAGTTCTCCGGCACCTGTGTTTGTTAATTGTGGGAACCTAGGCAGAAATGCCAGAGAAGCCTAGATCTGGCTCAGGAGCTGGAAGGGTAATTCTCCTCTCCCTCCACTTTTTGAGACAGACTCTTGCTGTATGACTCAAGCTGGCCTTGGACTCTTCATCTTCCCACCTCTGCCTCCTGAGTAGAGACCATAGGTGTGGGAATGGCGACCAAATCCCACCTCCTTTCTTGTTCTCTGTGACCAGCCCCCAGGCAGCCCCTGGGGACGAGTGGCAGCAGAGACCACTGCACACTGAGAGACCGCAGTCAGACCCTGCAGGAGGGGTGATTTCCCAGTGAGTCGGCTGGGCTGTGAGCAATAAAGACAGCAGCACAGTCCTCTGCTGCTCCACCTCTCCTCCTGCCTCTGCCTTGGACATGTGTGCTGAGGTGCGCACTGGGGTTCTTCTGCTGGCAGGCTGAGAGGAGAGCCTTAGGGAACTGGAAAGGGCCAGGGAGGTTAAGAACAGGAGGAGCTGGGGAAACAGCCTCCTGAGGGGTTTGTGAACACCTTGGCTCACTGCTGAGCTACCAGTGGTGCACGTGTGGGACAGATCCAAACGACACAGAAAAAGCTGCCAACCCAACTGCCAGTGGAATCACTGACCATCGAAGGGAGGGGCTTTTGACCTAAGCTAGCCAGGTTTTGTCTTCCTGCCAGAAAAGAAGTACCACCCTTCTTCATGGAATCTAATCAAGACTAAAGTTCTGTAATATAATATTCAAATGTTCAGGACACAGTCCAAAGTCACTCAGTTTTTCATCACTGTGACACATACCACAAACCTTTCAGGGGATCTCTCCCATCCCAGCCATTACACCCAGCACAGAAAGAGATAAGATATTCTCAATATACAGAGGTTTAAAAAAAGGTAGAGAGTGGGAGGAAAAGGGTCCCAAGAGCAGGCAGAGTCAGAGACACCCCCCCCCCACTACTGTTAGGTGTCCCACAAAAAACCCAATCTAAGCAACTACAGCATACATGTAGAAGACCTAGCACAGATCCATGCAGGTTCTTGCCTTGTCCAGCCTTGATATGGAGGTTTGTGCCTGGTCTTATTGCCGTGTTTGGTTAATATCTCTGGGGAGCCTGCTCTTCTATGATGGGAAATGGAGGGGCAATGGGTCTGGAGGAGAAGAGAGGCATGTGGGGGGGGGTAGCTGGGAGGAGTGGTGGCTCCAGTCAGGATGTAATGTATGAGAGAATGAATAAAAAGAAAAAAGATACAGGTGCTCACCTCCAGGTGACATGAGGACATTGGGGCTCTATGACAAAATGTGTGCCAAGCAGTAAGGATACAAAAATTCACACGGCACAAAATGAGCCACGTTAAAGTAGCCTTTAGCATATGTGCAGAGCTGTATAACCACCCCTTCTATCTAGCCCCAGTAACCCTGAGGCACCACTTCCTACTCCTCCCTTTCTCTACCCAGACCCTGGCAACATCGTTCAGCTTCTGTCTCTGTGGATTTACCAATTCTGGTTATTTTATATTGATGGAATCATAGACTGTGTATGACTTTTGTATCAGTCTCTTTCACAAAATGTTTTTGAGGTTACCTGGAGTTAGTAAGTAGCTTCAAAATCATATGAAGGGGGCTGGGAAAAATCAGTCAAGTTCTTGCCACCCGGGCCTAAAGACCTGAGGTTGATCCCCCAGAAAGTATAAAGATGAAAATGTAAAAATTGCTCCTGTTCTTAAGTTGTGGATTTTATCATGCAAATGTGCTAGATTTTGTTGCATGTTTTTTGTGTCTTTTGAGATGATCATACCGTTTCCCCCTCTGTAATACTAACATTAGGTATGTTACACTGATGGGATTTCTTGTGTTCAACTATCCTTTCTGTAAGAAAGCTCGCTTGGTCATGGTACTAATAATCTTTTTGATAAGCTATTGGATTTAGTTTTCAGATATTTTATGGAGGATTTTTGGAGTCCATGTTTATTAAGGATATTGGTCTGTTTCCGGTATCACAATATTAGTCTTATATAAAGTGCTAGGAATTGTTCGTTTTCCTTCAGTTTTGGGGAAGAATTTGGTAAAGACTATTATTCTTTTGTCTATTTGAGAATTATTTTGGTTGAGTTGTAAGAGTTCTTTACTTTTTTTGGCTACTGTGCTTTTGTGATTTGCCAATGTTTTCTCCCACTCTGGAACCTCTTTGTTCTTAAGCTTTAAAGGTAGTTTATTATATGTATGGGTGATTTGCCTGCATGTATGTCTGTGCACCAGGTGTACACCTGGGGGCTGTGGAGGTCAAAAGAGGGCATCAGATTTGCTGGATCTAGAGTCACAGTTGTGAGCTGCCATGTGGGTGCTGGGAATTGAACCCAGGTGGTCTGGAAGAGCAGCCAGTGTTAACCACTGAGCCACCTCTCTAGCCTTCCATTTTCTTAATATCCTTCCCACAAATGTTTACAAATTTCATTGTTTGACTTGTGTAGTCCTTCTGTTGCTTATGCCTTTGGTGCCACAGCCAGTCTGTTTCCCACCTCCAAACCCAAGTTCTTCTTTTCTGTATTCTCCAACTTCTAAGTGTAATATAGTTTTGGGCCACATGGCTGTACATCTAATACCTCACTCCCCCCCCCCCCCACTGTTAACCTGTGAAGTTGGTTTGATTGATGTATCTACAGATGAGAAGGAAGTCCATAGGGTCATGTGACCTGCCTAGAGTCTTGCTGCTAAAGGGGCGACACTGAGATTACCAGCAGTCCATCTGGAGTCCATCTCCTTAGCTTTGTAAAAGCTAACTCAAGCAGAGCACAGGACCCAGTGTTTCTCAGATGGGAATGGTGACTTTTTTCTTTCAATCTCTTACAGATTTTATAGATTATATTTTATATATGCTGTGATGGGAAAACCTATTTTAATGTAGATTTGTAGCAGCTGGATTTCTTAAAACTACATGATGGCAGCCAGGCGGTGGTGGCGCATGCCTGTAATCCCAGAACTCGGGAGGCAGAGCCAGGCGGATCTCTGTGAGTTCGAGGCCAGCCTGGGTTACCAAGTGAGTTCCAGGAAAAGGCACAAAGCTACACAGGGAAACCCTGTCTCAAAAAACCAAAAAAACAAAAAACAAAAACAAAAACTACATGATGGCTGATCATGAGTCTCTTTAAAGATAAACACATTTTAGAATCATAAAAAGTGGGCCAGTGAGATGGCTCAGTGGGTGAAGATGTCTGCCACCAAGCCTGGAACCACAGGATGGAAGGAAAACAGACTCCTACAGATTGTCCTTTGACCTCCACATGCATGGCATGGCATGTATACACACACACACACACACACACACACACACACACACACACACACACACAAAAAAAAAAAGTAATATAATTCCAACAGTAAAATGTGAAGTTACATTCCTATATGGCCCATTCTGTAGGTAAAGACAGCTACACAAATAGGAAGATTGCAGTTTGGATCTTCAGCATCCATGTGTATGGTGGTGGGCATGGCAGCTTGGCTGTAATCCTAACTCCCGGGAGGCAGATATGAGACTCCCAGAGGAAGCTTCCTACCTAGAGACTGGCCAAATCAGTGAGTAACTGCTCTACCCTACAGTATGGCTGACTTTGTAGTTGGTCCATAATGATATGAATAATGTAAGAGATCCTTTTGAAAAAAGGATACCACATGCTATAAAAGCTGCAACTTCTGGAGTTGGAATAGGAAAAAGAATAGGAAAAAGAACCTGGCAGAGAGATTTCTTGGGAGTAACATGACCATCAGTGCTTACCACTGCTCTGAGTCACTCCTGTTAATCACAGAACGTAGAAATGCAACATTTGTGTCTTAAGGATTGTCTTGGCACCAACCCCAATTGCTGGGATTGTGACTCAACCTATTGGGGAAATACACTTTTTCTCCCCACTTCCTGAGATTTACTAGCATAGAATCCAGGACATTTGAGGAACAAATGGACCATTTCCGTAGTGAATCATCATGTTAACTTCAGCTGTTTTCCCCAACAGTATGAGTACATCCAGTTCCAGCAGCAGAGAGCTTGCCATGAATGTAAGTCATGTAAGACACTAATGACAAGTGTTGTACACAGTATAGCATCCTTCTGAAGCGGGTAACAGTGAACTGTTCCCCATTACATGGGGACAGGAACTGCTCAAATAAGATGCACTTGGTGCTATGATCCTACAGCCTTTTGGGGAAATAGCAGACAAGTCTCATTTTCCTGTATGTAGCATCTCTCTGGAGATTTGGAGTTGGTTACTGTATCATGAGGCTGAAACATCCTTACTTCATTTATTTGTATTTGTTCCAGAAATAGTTAGTTGGATTCTAAAAAAAAAAAAAAAAAAAGTTCTGTGTCACAGGATTGGTCTTAGGATGGAGTGAGATCATGTAGGGGGAGGAATGAGCTTATCATGAAATGCAGGAAAGAGTGCAGCAAATGGTTTATTTATTATATTTATCTGCACAAGGAAAACTCCCGGAGTGCTCTTTCATGTACTGAACTGTCCCACACCACAGCACCCCCTGCTGGTACATCCATGGCAAACATTTCCACCTGCTGCTTTTGTCTGCACTGGCCAACACAAGCTGCTCCACTGCAGCACTGTTTGCAACAGCAAAAACACCAGGGACACCAACAAGTCCTTCACAAGGAATGTTCTCCCAAGTCTAACATTCAATGGGAAAAGATGCAAATGGGTGGGTGGGCGGGCTGTCACTTGTGAACTAGAACCATTGCAGATTCACTGACCTACCACTCAAGGGATGACAAAGACTCATCAACCTATGTACCACTACAAAAGACAGACCACTGTTCATTAACTGGCACAAAGATTAGAGTTTTATACTTGACAGCTTGCTTATTCTGGCATGAATTTGTCTATCAATTTTGGGGATAGACAAAAAAGGAAAAATATGGGTAGGATAAGAAGGGTAAGGCTTTTGGTGACAGCATGACTTCCTGATTGCATAATGCATTCCA